CTTCTAAAAAGTCCAAGGAGTGTGCATAGGATGGCGCGTGGGGTTCGAGAGGTGTACAGAATGCCATGCGACCGAAAGCGCATCTAATGGACAGGCCAGGAGAAGATTAATTGGCTGAGTCAGATGTGTTGATGGTTGGTTCCCAATCAGTAAATGGAGTGGCTGCTTGCCAAGATGGGTTGTTGATGCCTTGAGTTCTTCAAGTTTTAGGATTCTCTTCGTCTAGATGCGCCATGCGCATGATCGGCTCTCTAGCCTTTGAGTTGGCCTCGTTGGTCTTGAAGTTTTGAATTGGTTGGAGGACATCGCGGTCCATGGTTGAAGGCTGGAAGTGGGGCTTCTGCGGTATCAGCTTTTTCTGAGACCGCAACTGAGGGACATTCATGGCCGTTGACTCTATCTTCCTAGCGGCGGGGGCTGGGGCTCGGACATACAGGAACAAGGCCAAGCCCAGCATAGCCAGGCAGCCTGACTGCTTGAGGCCTATTCAGACAAAGCAACGCACGTTCAGGCATCCAGAGGAGCTACAGCTGGGTCAGCAAGAAGCACCGCCGCGATGCTGAGGCCGAGGCTGAGGAGTGGACAACTTCCAGACAGGGACACAACTTCAAAGCACTTCCGATCCTTTGGGATAAGTACCTAGGTCCCCAGTAGGGCCCTTTTACCCTTTTTTGGGGGAGGGTTCCCCTACTAAACTAGACTGCAGAAAAAGGGTACCCTCATTCTAACCTCTCTACTGAGGGACCTAGATGCATTCAGTGACCTTCCTAAAATCATCCAAGATGTTCTGTCCTTGAAAGGGGCACTACATCCCGTTGACTGTCGTCCTTGGCATGACACAATCTGTGGACAGAGTGGCAGTAAACAAAGGTGATGCCGACTACGCCCGCCCAGGCTGCGGTTTGGTTTGAACACTATGCTTCTTGTTGTTTGCAAATTCTGCATTGGGATGCTCTCAGCTCTTGCTCGCTTGACATGAGAGAAATTGCACAGCTTGCTTTTGGTCGAGCTAAGACATGATCCTCTTTTCGTTTATTGTCTTAATGTGAGTGTTGAGAATCGGGTGTGGTGACGACTGGGTGTTTCCGGCGGCAAATTTTGGCATAGTCTGCAAATTTGCTTTTAGGTGGCTGAATTTCCTTGATCAATTTGATCGGCAGGGGAGTTTGAATAGGCGGATGAAGAGTGGAGCAAGCTATGGATTCCAAGCAGACTCGTGGTAGTCATGGTAGTCTTCTACGGGCGCTGCACCACTTTAGTCGCATTGAATGTTTTTATCGGCCTGACATTGGAGCAGCCCTAGTTTTCTGTGAAGGGGTTCGATTGTCAAACAGTCAAACAAGTTCTGTTGACGGGAACAGTTTCTGCGCGCGCTAGGAGCACATCCAGATGATTGGCTATAGCGAGAACTGGACGGCTGAGGCAGCCGAACTCTTGGCCATCGAGGGCGCTCAGTGCAAGATCACCACGCGGCAAGGGCGGCAGCTCCAGCTTGGGCCAGATGGCGCGCTGATCGAGCTGGCTGATATTGATCCTTTTCACGACTTTCCGTTGACCGTTGGGAAGGAGGCCCGGATCCAAAGATGGACGTTGACATGGCGGTCAATGCAGACGCATGTGTGATATGCGTTCTTCACGCGGTCAGAGCTGCTTTAGATCGAGGCTGTCTTCCATCAAGTAGTGACAACGGTTCCTGCATTTTGGGTTCATGGGATTCGCGCATTGAAAGGTCTCTTCATGAAGCTCGGCACTGGTGGCTTAATTGTAACGCTGCGCGTTGCCCGCCTCGGCCCAGCCGAGCGCACAGCGTTTGTGGTTCGACTGCAAGCAGCAGAGCTGGTCAAGGCGATTCAGGAATGGACAGGTTCTGGCGTCGTTGGACCAATTTATGTCATGGGCCGAAGTTGTGCAGGAATTCCCGAGGCAAGGGCAAGGCGATGCACAGGACCAGCAGTGAAACATGGAGCCAAGAGTCAGCGGCGCTGCGTGCTGGGGCAGTGGATGTCATGAGCGGAAGTTGCGCAGAAAGTCTCGACAGCAAAGCAGAGGCTGCGGTGATCAATGCGCACGGTCTTGATTGACTGTGTTGGCGCGTGGGTCGGTCGGGCTAGGAGGCCACTGGGCTTAGTTGTGCTTGAGCGGGCTTTGCTTGGGCTGGAAGTCTCAGACAAGTCAGACAAGCCGGCCTTGCAAAGTGCTGGGCTTGGGGCTTTGCTTGCGGGTGCTGGCTTGCTGGGTTCAGACAGGGCGGGTCTCCAGGTGTTGGGCAGCTGGACTACACTGCTGGCTGATGTTTCAGACAGTACGTGAGGGAAGCTGGGCTAGCATCATTCTCAACTTCTCAGCGACCTACAAAAATGGGTCCGTGGAGCTGGAAGCCTGCACAGATGGGGGATGGGGCTCTTTGCCAAGGCGAATTTTGGGCATGTTGCCAGCATCTCCCTGTTGGGAGCAGATGGTGCCTGGTTCTATTTAGCGCCCTAAAATGTGTGAGCCATCTGAGCTGAGACCTGGGGCACAGCCATTTGGAGGCGAGAGGATGTTTGGCGCCACGGTGCCCGAGTGACATGGTTTGCCACATAGGTGTGTCTTCTTTAGGGTACCCCCAAAATATAAAACCACTCAAAAACAGGTGCCTGCAAACAAATACATACAAAATCTGAATCAAGTTCTGCGACGCTTCAGCACACATTTCACGCCGTGGCCGTCGCTTTGGGCGGATGCCGTCGCTCTTTTGGCCAGGTCAAGCTCCAGCCGGGCGAGGCGCAAGTTGACGCACCCGGCCAACCAGAGCCTGAGCCATCTGAGAGCCAACTGGCGTGAACGTCTTGCCGCTTCGAGGGTGTGGCCGTGCGAAGAATGCCAAACGATTTTTTGATTGGGCAGTGGTATGCTTAGTTACTTCCTGACAGCCGAAGGTCTGGGGTTGCATCCTTGAATTCCTGAAGCAAGGCCCGATCAATCACAAAGCTTTCATTACACATGTACTTACAATCACTTGCACGTGTCAAGGAAGAGAGGGCAACGCATACATGGAAGGGTGAGCCCAGCATGGCAATCATCGAACTTATTCTAATAATTACTGCATGACTCTTGGGATTGCAGGTAGGCTTAGCCTACCAAATGGAAAGCATGCACGCATGATGCTTTGCCATTGTCCTTAATCCCAACTAAATGGACTAAAATGGGTGGTGCACCTACCCAAAATGGTACCAGCGCCCGATTTGTTGCCCATGTGTTTTGTCCATTTAAAATTCACCAGGACAACCCCCTCTCAAGCCACCGAAGCTCATAGACTCATAGGCCACACCGTTGCACGCGCACCTGCCGGGAGCTTGGCCTCGCAGAGTTTTTGGCAAGATTATTACAACTTGGAAGCCAGACATGGCATGTGATCCTTGTTGGGTTATTTATTCGTTGTATCGTGTTTTGTTAGATGTTAGCATCCATCACGCACCAAGTTCATTGGCAGAGACAAAAGTGCTGGCCAAAGCATACTACCAAGCAGGCGGGTGCCAGTTTATAGCCAGCCCACAAGAGACTGGGGTTGGAGCAAGCCAATCGCAACAATCGGTATTGTCCTGGGATAGTTGCAGATAAAGAATACATATATATATATATACATATCCATATATATATATATATATAGAGATATGCTGACGCTGACCTAATTGCAGTTGCGGTGGCGGCGGCTAATTCCTATCATATCAACAGCGGTTCAAGACTCATCAGTAGTGCTAGAGTCATGAAATCATGCTTTGCGGTTTGTTGGCCTCAGCCTTTGATTGCTGCTGGATATTCTTCCGCGAGGAACTTTGGATCAATTCGGTCTAGTTGTGGCCCTCGCGAGAAGAGATCGAGCCTTCTCGGAGTTTACGAGAAGGCGAGCATGTACAGTCTAACACGCCAGGCATTTCGCCAGGCATTTCTGCAGAGCAGGAGTTGTGACATTTGGATTTGCGCAGCTGAGCCCCAAGCTCCTGCTCTGCACACGCTGTGAAGTTCACTCCATGCATGAAGCTCCGCGTGGCTCTTGCGGATCAGCTGGTCGGCACTCACACAAGGCCGGAGGGGACATGGGCCAAGTCTTAAGATGAGATGAGATGTTGGGGGCACTGCGATTTCCGTGCAGAGCAAAGATCTGTCTGCAGTTTGCGCAAAGGAGACAACACTGAGGAGCTGGCAGCTAGAGCCCGAGCACTCCAAGTAGACATTGTTCTGACATCAATACTTGAACCCATTTTAGACACACACACATATGCTGACCACAGGTCTGAAAGCAAGAGCGGTGCTTCGTGGAATGAATATCGTTGTCATTGATCAGAGTTCGGCCGCATTTTGTCAGAAACGTCTGGCTTTGCAGACTTGCAATTTGATCGCTGCTCACTTCTATGCTTCATAGGTTGGCGCTCCAGCTCACTGTACAGTTCTGGCCGTGGTGCCTTATTTTGTACATAGGCTACCATTTTCTTCGCTGAAAAGGGTCCCTGCTGCTGGCATAGTAAATGTACAACTTTGCCTTTTGCTGTTTACTGCTTCTCTGCATGCTCCGCACACGCAAACAAACGTCAAGATGCTTTTGGTTGCCTGCGTTCTCTGTTTATGAGGCATTCCAAGGCCGAGCGAAGTGGCTGTGGCAGTTGAGTAGCGCTTTGCTACCCGGCTGTCTCACCCATACCAGCCACAGGATCCACGGCGCGATTGTTTCTTACCCTTGGAAAGCACGCGCTTCAGCCATTTCACAGTCGAGTAGCATGAATCGGCGACATTGCCAGGGCCAAAGTACAAACCACAAGTTCCAGCGTCGACCCACCAGATGCCAAGTGACAGATGGGTCGTGATGCTAAGATCACCCATCTCCATGGGACGGAACCATCTCTCCAAACGCATCATCCCAAGGCACCTTCCACCAGGGGAATTTCAAGAATGTTCGGTTTCCCAGTTTCGCTTGAAAAAGTCAGGGCGATTTCAGTGTTCCCCAAAAAAGTCGCCCCAAAAGCACTGGGCACCTGTTTTTTCCCGGCGGCATGGCGTCCTCATGGCTCTCCAAAGCAGCGTCCATGGCACAGGCCGCGCAGGAACGGGCGAAGGAGGCGGGGTGATTGGACGCCCGATTATGGCAGGGTGTGGTAGCATATGTGTAGACGGCACGCGTATATGTACATCCATTGGGCAATGCGCTCCATTTGCCATGCGATCTTTCCAGTTGCCATGGATCGACGTTGGGCGATGCGCTCGCCATGTTTGGCCAGCGATCAGCTGGGAGGCAGCAGAGAAGGCGGCCAAAGAAGCCGCCAAGTTCCGAGATGAGGCCCAAGCGGCCGCGCGGAGGCCCAAAGCGATCAGGTATTGTCATGTGTGATTGCGTGCCACCACAGATACTGCTCTCAAAGAATTTGTTATCATTCGATACTTTACGATGTTTGGTTTTCATCAAAGGTTTCAGGTAGGCGGTTCTTGTTTGCTTAGGTTGCCTAGCGTATCCGCAATGTATCAGCCCTTCAGAATTCAAAAGAGCACAGTCTGCGTCGGCCTGGGCAACACAAACCAATTTGACGGCAGAATTCCAGGGCTGTCTTGAGACGTTCTTTTCACAGATTAGGATCTTCGCAGAAGCCATGTGTCAAGGTCTGGGCATTTGTTTGTTGGACACGAACATGGTGAGAATGAAGAGAACTTCTCTCAGCCACATGATAGCTTTGTCCACAAGTGCTTGGGTTCCCGCACTGTTCTACTGACTGGATGTCGCATGGGATCCCCTCGTTTGAACTAATCCCCCCCCCCCCTCCCCCCCAAAACAAACCACCCCCCCCAACCCCCCGGAGAAAGGAGCCTTTCTGGCAAATCTTTGCAAGCAACCCCCCCCCCCGAGGGGAAGTTGCAACAATCCCCGAGGCCAGTGGCTTGGCCCAGGGCGCGGCATCTCGGCGCAACACGCCTGGTGCCGTTGTGCCGTTGCATGGTGTACTGCATGGAACACACTGCTTGTTGGGTTACTTCCGCGTATCGGAGTCTTCACCGCGCGTCAGCAGTGGCGATGCTGAAAGCCAGAGCTGACTAGAGAAAGAACCGCCTGCCGTTCAAGAGGTTCATATGCTGCAAGATGCAGCTTCCGGTTTTCTTCCATGGCCCATTGGGATTTGAAAGGTTGTCAGGTCATGGGCAGCGGACTGAAGCACATGGCAACCATCATGTGGACGGTCGATGTGAAGCAAAACACGGGGGCAATATCTCATGGGGCTGGGGGGGAGGGAGGGGAGGAGGGGGGAGCCGAAAATAGCTCTGCCTTATTTAGGTCTTAGTTGGGCTCCCTCCCCCCTCCCCTCCCTCCCCCCCAACCCCCATAAATAGCCAAATTTGCGCGCTTTCTCCAAAACGAAGGCAGGTGGCCGCATATCTTACTGTTATCTGTTCGATAGCTGCGCGCATCTTCATGTGCCCGGTCCAGAGGCAAGACTGATATCGTCTCAAGACCTAGTTGAAGAATATGGTTTCTCCTGACGCACTGGGTGTGATTGTTGCTTCACGTGCAGCTCTCGGGTGCAACCGGCCATTCCAAGCCCCAGAGTTCTGCTGCGGCGCCCAGCAAGTATGTGTGCGCCCGTATCCCGAATCTTCTTGCGAAGCCCAGGCAACCCGAAACGGCTAAGCCCGAAAACCCAGTTCAGTCTGATAGGGGTTCGAGTCACACTACCTCGGCCTGCGGGCCCTTCAGTAAACCACCCTGTTGCCTCCGCACTCAACACCTGAACCACAATCAAAACCCGGTTAAGTGAAGGTTAGTAAGGGACGATCCCAGCTATAAATAGCTGCGGCCGGCTTCTTAGTTCTTGAAGCATGGTTCTGGGTCGACCATTCTTGTACCGGGTTTGGATTGTGACTCACCTCCAGTTTGCGCTGGGGCCATTGGCCAAGCCTCTGAGGAGCGATTCCTGCTTCCCGAAGCCAAAGCCAACCACCGGGAGCTGGTCTTTGAGGCCTCTTCCGTTCTTGTAGGCAGCAGATGGCAGTCATGCAAGACCAAAATGCAGCTCTGGGCCCCGAAACTTGGTGCAGGGAAGCAGTTGGCAATGTGTTCACGTTTTACCCTCTGCAGATTACGGGTTGAAGCTCTGAGGTTTGCGAATCGCCTTGTGATTTACATTGTGTTTCTGAAACGTTCGGGGTCCTCTTTGTGAACGGTAAGAGGAAGCCGCAAAAGAACACCACCTGGGGTGCCCAATTTTGAGAAGCAGGTGTCAAAAGGACCGCCCCCAAGGTGCACGGGGGATCCTTAAAGCCACCCACATGGCTCGCATTGGCCAGGAGGGTCCCCTGGGCTTCGAGATTGAGGGCGCCCGCGTCATTGCTGTGGACGATGAGGCGAATCGGATTTGAGGGGAACCCCTTTGGTTTCAGGGAGATAGGGAGATGGAATGTGCTTTTTTATTTTTTAGGTTAGTTTGGTTTTAATAGTAGAAGGCACTGGTTTAGATGGGTTTCATTCCATTTACCAGGGCCATCTATTTTCCCCTGAAATCCCCTGCCATCCAACCGGTCTCCTTGGGATCAGAAAATCAGCCCTAGAAAGCCCAAGCTGAGTCCATGAGCAGCAAGGAGCTGGGGGTTGGTTTTTTGCTGCCGGGTGGGGGGGTGGGGGGCGATCAAGGCAGCATCCTACCCCACCCTGAGGAAATCATTTGACCGGATTCCGTGGGAACGAAGGGGAGCATCACCAGCACTGGGCCGACGGTCTCGCAGTGAGAGGCCTCCGTTTGAACTCGACTCAGCTCTGACCGACTCAGCTTCGACTTAAGCTTCCCTTTGTCTTGATGGTATGCTGTTGCATTTATTCCTGTGGACCCAGTTGCTAATATTTTGAGCCGCACCAGCTTTGCGTTCGGAATACCATGCATGACTTGATTTGGCCTGAGAGGTCTTATGACACAGGACTGTACAATCTTGCAGCACCATACTTGTAAATCAATCCCTTCAGTGGCCGTTTCTTTTTGGACTCTTTTGCTCTCACGCCGAGACCCAGCAAAAGTAGAAGCCAACCCCCTGACTTTGGTGTTGCTGCGCGGCAGGTCGGATCCATCCCAGCAGCCAAGTGGCTATTATTAGTTTT